CTCATAAATCATACATTTAAGCCCCTTAACAGATATTCCAGGCTTAGAAGTCAGAGTTCCCTGCTGTCACTGCATCTGAAGTTGGAGGCATGACAAACACCTCTTATAGCTAGCCATTACTGGTGCCACTTAAACGTTCATTTGTGTTTAGAGAGGAAAAAACGAAAGATCCCCAAACCCAGGCCTAAAATACTCTCAGTTACATAATATTGAAAAAAATATCAGACATAATTATTTTGACTAATATCATAGAATCACCAAGGTTGGAAAAGACCCACAAGATCACCCAGTCCAAATATCTACCTATCACCAACAGTTCTCCCTAAACCATGTCCCTCATCACAATGTCCAAATGTTCCTTAAACACCTCCAGGGTTGGTGACTCCACCGCATCCCTGGCAGCCCATTCCAGTGCCTGATCACTCTTTCAGAGTATTATTTTGTAATATCTTAACACACTAGATTCTTAGCCAGAGGTATTCCTTCTCATCTTCCTTCCTCACATCTTAAAAAGGAAAAAAAAAGCCACACAGTCACAAAAGATAATACAGCTCATTAGAACTGTAGCATGAGTAAACACGAGAAGCAATTAGTGATCAAATTTATACTGAATTTAACACTATATTTTCATCCCACACATACCACTGAGCAAAGATTCACCTCAGAGAAAATCCAAGTTTACTGAATGCCTGACCACTAAGTGCACAAGCTTGTAGTCAGCTCCTTGGGTCACTGCTCGAATGACTAACACAAGGTATATTATCCATACCATGAGTCCTTCTGCAGTATATGCACGACTATCAATTTAAACATACCTGTTGATAAAGCCATATCCATTTCTGACATTGAACCACTTGACCGTGCCAAGAACTTTTGTTGCTGGAAAAAAAAAGTAGTTCAAATAATAATTATAATAATAATAATAATAATACAAAAGTGTCACAGAAATGCTTTTATAGCTGCATGTGATTTCTCAGACCAGACCTGGTCTCCTTCCTTAATGCCAAAGATGTACCTTCACCTCCATTTCAGTTTATACTAATGCAGTAGTAGGAAATATTGCTTTCACTTGCTGCATGGTAGCTTCCACCATCTACAGTCAAGTCCACCCTCTATTTTCAGAGTTGGCCATCTATTTTCCTCCTCTATTTTATTTCTTATTCCATAAAGAAGAAATGAACATTTAAACCTCTGATGACCGCCAGCCATCAGTTCTCTTTAGCTTAGTAGCTGTATGTTTCACATCTAGCAGAAAGAAACTGTTTAGAAGTGCTCTTTTACTCAAACATCCCTCTTTTTTGCTTCCTTGGAAACCTGAACTGGCTGAAGAAGCAGTATGCCAAATATCATCCAACAATCTCATGTGAGAAGGGCAGCACATGTTTATTTTTACGTATGAGCTCTCTCTTGCATTGTAAACCCCACTCCAAACAAAAGCCCAACATTTGTTTTCTGTTCATATTCCTTACTCCAGAGCTCTTCCACAAAGTATCAGCTTTAAATGGACCACGCTGAAGCTTCTAGAAAGAAGACAACTTCTTGTCTCACTACACTAAACTCACATCTCATGTAGAAATCAGACTGTAGTGTCTTAAAGGATCTGGTGGAACTTGTTCCACCAACATGTAGGTAGTGTGTGGGAGGGACTCAGTTGTGATGGAGGTAGTTCAACCTCTCCTTTTTTGTCAGCAACTGGGTGGGGACTACAAGATTTTCCCTTTCCAAACCTGCAGGAAAGCGAGAATTTGGAGACCTATAAATGTTATTTAATACACTGCACTGCTACACAGTTGCAGTATGTCAAACAGTCACACTGCGTAATTTGAACAGTAGACACCTGTAAAGGATCTAGTCAGACAAATGCCAACTTTCTAAAAGAAAAAAAAAAATCAGGAAAAAATAAGAATTAAAGGGGAAAAGTGTTTTCTGGATAATCTCCAGTTCAGAAGCCTTAGTCAGCCTGCTCGAGGCAAAAAGAAAACATCCTGGAAACAATTACCTTCTTCTGTATTCTTCCCTAAATATTCACAGGGCAACTGCATGGCTAAACAGACCTCTGGTCCTACACAGCCTTGACATTGATATATGTGCACACCTTCCTGACAGACAAAAAGTGACCTCATCCTCCAGCTACACAGCTACAACAGAAATGTTTGCTGGTAGCAGTCCACTGTTACACTGTTGTTGAGGTCTACTGGAAATAGTAACAGTGCTTTATCACTGCACTTCAGTGAAGGTTTTGGTAAGCGTTCATATTTTAGGAGCAAATGTTTATACTCAGAAAAAGTGAAATCATGGAAGACTGTGACAGTTACTAGAGAAAACAAGGCTGTATCTAGTACAGCATCCATTCCCAGCTTTCCCCTTGTTTTCAAGAGGAGAAAAGCCCCCAAATTTTGCCACTCAGCATTGACTGAAGGACAACAGTTATCACTCTTACAGCAGTGCTTCTAGGTTTAGCTTCATCAGGTCATATCTAGGTCCAGATACTTACTATATTATGAAGGTACAGAACATAGGCAAGAGTTCACTGCGCTGTGCAAGTTAACAGGGGAAAATGGGGGAGAAGACAATAATAGGCTAATACCACTGATTGCCTTATTTTTTTCTCTTCTCTCAAAATAGCCATGAATATGTTGGCCTATTCAATCGGATCAGGAAGAGGATGAGAAGCCTGACAATCTTATGAAAACTCTCAGAGGAGCCAGAAAACTAGCGGAAGGAAAGGTAGTCAAAACTCATTGTACATGGCCACTGATAAATGCGCACACAGCTTCAGAGCTAGGTAGAACAGCACTCTTCTTTTTGCACAAGCTGTCACAGATTGCAGGAAACCTCCAGTACATTCCTAAGATGGTATACTGTGGAAGTAGTATTCCCCACCTGTATTAGTGTAACAATGTCCCCTTAAGCATCACCAAGAGGGTAAGAACATTAGACGTCAGTATTATGCTTGATCTCCATGTGACCACAGCACAGCTGTTGTTAAGCCTGAGTTGTCATAGTGGAGAGATCAGGCAGGTAGAAGGAACAAGCCCAAAGGAAGCCATAACCAGTCTTACTGACAATTCAAAGAAAGCAGTTAACATGATGAGTCTTATCCCACTGGCAAGCAAAAGCTCACATATTTCCTATGAAATGCTGTGCACATATCAGGGAAATGATCAATCACTCCTATCCACATTTAAATAGCCTTGTTTTTCTTAATTCAGCAACGAAAAGCACATGAAAGCTGATTTGTCCTTATACCTCAAAGTCAAACACTGGGGAAGCCTCAAACCTTGCTTCCAATGTGATATCTTTTTAAGAGGAGATTTAATTGCACTGTACCATAAGACCTATTACTAGACTACTATGTACTTTCGAGTCCATTTTTAATTGCATCATTTCCTCATGTCTGAGGAAAAAAGCTTGCCTAACATTAAGGCCCATTTGCAGAAGCATCATCATGGGGCTTATTCTTCCTACTAGACCAGGAAAAGCACTTGAGCCTTCACTCCTTCTTTGCCCCCTCCAGGAAATGGCGGGGGGGGGGAAAGGTTGGAAGCAGGGGCTTGATCTGCATGAAAACATTACCAAAAACATACTACCAGTTTACTTTGCTAGGCTCCTTGCCATGGCAGTTCCATTGAGGTCTCTACCTGCTCCTTTATCTATTGCACTAAGATTTCAAACCTTCTAGAGAGAAGATGCTGTCTTTCCTCACTGAAGCTCAGGTATTAGAAGTAAGCCTTATTTTTGTCTTGCTAGCCTCTTAAAGTTAAGTGGTTATTAATAGTAGATTATAGGCAAGATAAATAGGTAATGAACAGCAGCCTGCTTCCACTAGAACAATTCCAACGCAGACTTATACCCAGACCATTTCAACAGGTTGGTCCTGTTTAGCTACAGTTCAAACAGAAAAAAAAAGAAAGAACCACGCTATGCACGTACACGGCTTGAGTACTGAGACAGCAATTCGGCACTTCGCTTTTGCTATTGTGAAAGAAATAATTTAAAAAATATATATATCCAAGAGACATTATTGAAGCAGTTGCTGTCCTTTAAGAGTAAAGAAGTTCTGCCAAGACTTCAGAGATCCGGGCTCACGGTCATCCACGCGTTCTGCCAGCAGCCGATTCCGGCAGTAGGCTCGCAGCCCCGCGCCCTCCCGTACCGCTCCGGGCGGGGCCGGGACGCTCAGCCCGCACAACCGTGGCTTCTCCCTACAGCGCGAACGGGCACGCAGCAGGTGCCGGCAAGCCTGCCCTGCCGCCCGCCGCTCGCCATCATGGCTGCGCTCGCTTTCCTCGCTGCCCACGCAGCCCCCGCCCGACTCTCCGCGGCACGGGGCCTCGTAGAATCAGAGCGCGAAGCCGCGCCCCAGCTCCGCGCACGACCGGCGGCGGCGCCGCCCAACTTCGCGCCGAGTTGCGTGCGAGCCGGGCCCCGCTCCTCCGGCGGCTCCCCACGACGCCGCCGCCACCCCGCGCGCAGCCTGACTCACGGCAGCGAGGAACGGGGGGAGGAGCAGGGCGTTCGCAAGCGGGCGGCGGCTCCGCCCGGCCCGGAGCACAGCGTGCGCTGCCATCAACCCTCCTCCCGCAGCGAGGCGAGCGCGAAGCCGCCACGCGATACCGCCCTACCCGCCCAGCACCCACCGAGCACTTTCTTCTCCGTCTCCCCTGCGGCGGCGGTAGCGGCGGTAGCGGCAGTAGCGGCCGCGGAGCCGGACGCGGCGGGTGCCACCTCGCCGCCCGATGCTCCCGGCGCGGCGCCGCTGACGGGGCTCTTGGGCTTGACGTCCGGAGGGGCGGCAGCAGGGGGCGGCGGTGGCGCGGGGGCAGCTGCGGCGGGCGCCGTGCCGCTAGCGGTGCTGGTCTCCGCCGCCTCGCTCATACTGGTTGGCAGCAGGACGGGTGCGCGGCGCTGAGCAGCTGTTCCTCGGGCCCGCGCTGGGTCTTACTGCCCCTAAAATGGCCCCGCCGAAGTTTTAACACAGTCAGCGGGGGCCGGCGCCGGGACTTGCGCCGCCTCATTAGCATTTAAAGGGGCCGCACCGTGGTCGCGGCTGGACCGAGTGAGCGGGGGACGGCGTGGGGATCGGCCCCGGTGAGGTGAGGGGCGCGCGCGGGCGCGGTACGCGCGTGAATGTGGCCGTGCGATGTACAGGTGGCCGTGTGTGCACGCACGAGTGCGGCTGTGGGTACGAGAGAGTGTGCGTGTGGAGCTGAGCGGAGCTGAGCTGAGCTGAGCTGAGCACCGCGCGTGTATGCCCGTCCGTATCTGTGGGTACCTGCAAGAATCCCTCTGTGCGTGGGGTTGTGTATAGATACATACGCACACACAACTGCAGTCGAGAGTCCGAGATGTCAGTAGGCGCGTGGCCGCATATTGCTGCTTGCTCCCACGCGTGTGCAGACAAACGTGCTCTGACGGCGGTGTCTGTGAGCACATCTGCCCCGTACCCTGTATGGGCAGAACGGCTCGTTTTGGACGGGAGTTCGTGTGCTCTCCGTTGGGAACAAACGGCTCGATGAGGTGAGCCTAAGAGTGCGTGCGTGTTGGTTTTGTTGCCCCTGTTTCTTTCCATGCTGCTATTTCCTTACCCGTGGTATAATCTGCAACCCCTCGAATTTATTTTCATCCCACTGCCTCCTCTTTCTCTTGCAGTTGTGCTTCTAGCTCTCTCACCTTCCTTCCTGTCTTTTTTTCCTCCTCCTCCCAGTTTTTGAACAGCCTCCTTAAGTGGCCTTTTGATGATGTTTCTGCTCAGAGAGCACTTTTGCAGTTTGCCGCATAGCCATTGTACGTTATTCCCTCTGCCTTGAATCTTTCATTCCCTACAAGGTAGAGAACATCTGTTCATGCATCATGCACCTTTGTCTTCTCCACTTTCTTCAAGTTCAGCTTTGCTACTCTGTGTTCATGAATGCTCAAAGAACATGGGGTCACATTCATTTCTCCCTTTGTGTCCCACTTCTTGACAATCAGTTGATAGTTTTCATAACAAAAATAAAGGTCTTTAAAGGAGCCCCTGCTGAATATCACTCAGCAATACCAACATTGACTCCAAGAAAGTCTCAGATGTTCCTTGGCAAGGCACTTCATAGGTCCAAAGTTTTTGGCACATTGAGGCTTCACTGAGTGAAGAGGAATTGTCTTGGACTGCATATAATGTATGTAAGTAACAAAACTCCTTTTATTTTTTACTGAAACATTTTGAAAAGGAAAACAACAAAACAAAACTAGTGGGATATTTGACCTGGGTTTTGTGAAACTAATGCATCAGTGTCTGGTTCAATGGAAGCGGTTGCAATTCTCCATGAGTTCTTGAGGTGTTCATCAAAGATTTTTGATGAAATTTTGTGCTTCCTGCATTTCAGCCTTGACAACATCTGTTGACAGATGTACATGCTGCCAAAAAGTGATGACACAAATAAGGTGTGATTGTGAAGTGAGAGATATTTTACAACTGATAGGGCGGGTCTGATCAAAGTTTACTTCATCAAATTTTTGACTTGAATATCTGATGGCAACTCTATACATTCCACTAAAAAAATTGCAGGCAACGTACATCAACTGAAAATGGAGTTGTGCATATACCAAAAAAAGATGATTTTTTTTGGCATCTTGAAATCTATTCTAAAATTCTGTTATCAAAACAGAAAGCATGGCTGCATATTCACTGTTTATAGAACTGTGTTCAACCAATGTCTCAAAATGCATAAAATGTGCCAGAACTTGAGCTTGCCAGCATTTAATATTCATTTCAGACTCTGTTACAGTTTGAAACATAGCACATACAAGTTGATTTTCACTATGAAGATGCATGTTTAACTCATTAAAATTAGTGGTGAAATCCACCAAAAAAAAATTACAGATTATTTTGTACTTTTTGTACTCTTGTTGAGACTTTGAAAATTATAAAATGTATTGGTACCACACAGCTATTCTAGATGTTTCTTCCACAATAAATGTGTTAACTTATTAAATTATCTTACAGAATAACACAAGCTGTAGTTTAATAATTAAATAAGAAAGCATACGTGTCTGCATGTACAGAAAGTGGATACAACTTGGATACAAACATGTGCAGGTAGGTTGCAATGTTATTATCAGTGATCACAATGTTTTACTTACCAAGTTCACAAGCACACGTAATATGCCATACTGATACATATGCCATTCTGATACAACTGAGTGTGTGTGGTGGGTGCAAAAGGCAGAATTAGCCCTGTTAGCCCTGGCCCTTCAGCCAGTTTTCACTTCACTTTGGTCTGCTCATATCATTAACTTCTCTATATGGATCTTTTTGGAGACAATGTCCAAGTCTTACTAAATGAGGTCCAGGAATACAATATCCAGTGCTTTCTCCTCATCTACTAGGCCAGTCATTTCATCATACAAGGTTATCAGAATGGTCAAACTTGTCTTCCCTTTGGTTATTCCTGAAAGACACCCTCTTGTCCTTCACATGCCTGAAAATGGTTTCTAGGTTTACCTGCTCCACCAGTTTTCCAGGGACTGAGTTGAATCTGACTGACTTGTAGTTTACTGAAAACTCCTTCTTGTTCTTCTTGAAGACAGGAGTGATATATGCTTTCCTTCTGTCTTTGAGCTCTTCAACACATTGCCATTATTAATCAAGGATTATCAAGGAGATCTCGCAGTGACATCTGCCAAGTCTCTCGTAGTTGCATCTCATCATGGCCTGTTATTATGTCCAGTGTACTTAAGTATTCCCTGATCTAATTCTCCCTGAAAAGGTTACATATGCCTTGCTCCAGCCTTCTCCTGGACTCAGGCCTGGGATTAACCAAGGCCACTCTTAGTGGTAAAGGCTGAGGCAAAGAAGGCATTCAGTACCTCAGTAATGTCCATGTCATATATAACCATGAACTCCTGAATTCTTTATGCCCTGCTGTATTGTCCTTCCAACAGGCATGGGGCGTGTTTAAAAATCTCCATGATTACCAGGGCTTGCCAATGGGTACTACTTCTGACTAACTGTAGGCCTCATTCATTTGTAAAGACAGGCAGATGGTCAGGTGGCCAGATTGTCTGTAGTTGCAGTCTGTAGTGGCAGACTTCAACTACAATGTCACCCATAATGGTTTGCTCTTTATCTCTTGTATTACTCACATCTTGTGTTGGTTCCTTATCCATTCCCAGGCAGAACTCCAGGCACACCAACTCCTCTGTCACATCAAGGGCAACTCTACCTCATTTTTCAGTCTGTCCTTTCCTAAACAGTTGCATCCCTCCACTGAAACACTCTAGTCATATGAGGCAACCTACCATGTGTCTCTGATGCCTATGAGACGATAGCTGTGCAATCGCGCATCTCTGATTCCTTGTGTTTATTCCCCATGCTGCATATATTGTTGAGCAAGCATTTCATAGTGGCACCTTATATCCTGATTTCTTAGAAATGGTCTATTGGGATTTTTATCTTCCAGTGGGATCTAATAATAGAAGAAATCGAAACCGTGTTGTAAACACCAGCTCTGCAACCAGTTGTTGATATAGTCCCTTCCTCCTCCTCACACTGTTTTCCCTCTTTGGCAGGATGGAGGATCACCAAGTCCTTGACCATCACCTCAAAATGAACAGATGATGCATTTTTATGGAAAAGAACCCCTAGACATTTCTAAAAATTATTTTCAGGCCACTCTTTCTTAATTCATAGGTCCATAGCACATCAACATCTTTCTAACACTGTAAGTTGGGGAAATGTCAAGCTAACGCATGTAGTTTTAGTTGCTCATAATTTGACCAAACTGTAATGGCTTGGACTGAAATTCATAATTTTTGTGTGAAAAGTTCAGCAGAAGATACTCAGCTCTGAAAATAAGGTGAGGTTAAAATACTTTGCTTTCTCTCATTTTAAATTGATGTAAGGCTTATCTTTGTAAGTTACAGTGACTCCGCGTTTTTGAATGGAAAGTTGAAATTTAGCTGTGTTAGGGGTACTTATTTTATTTCCTTCATGAGAGGAAAACAAAATCAATCAGATTATTAGCAATTAAATTTCTCCAGGTAGTTGTCTTCTGAAAAGCCACTTAGAACATGATCAGTAGCAACTTGTGGAGTTGAGCTGAAAAATTGCCTGAAGCTGCTGTGTGGAGGTGCACTGACTATGCTGTTTGAATTCTACGTCAATCATGCAAGATCACTGTAGGACACTCTGGTGGGTCATCTACAGCTGAGCAGGTCATTCTTACAATTGCAGCTCCTGTGCGTCATGTGGTAGCATCACCAGTTTTTGGAGCTAGAATACTATCCCTTTTACATGCCTCCTGATGACCAGGTTACAATAAAAGCAAAAGGTGGATGGGGAGCATAGGCTCCAGGGCTTGAAGAACAGGGCTTGCCAGGGACTGAAACATCCAGGATGATGTTTGTCAGCAGGAGATGAAATACCAAGGCAGCAGCCAAGAGAAAACAAAGGCTTAGAGATCAGAGGGAAAGAACTGGCAGCAAACAAAAAGAGATGGAGGAACTAAGAAAGAGTAAGGAGGAGTGAACGTGATGAGTTGATGATGAATAAGTCAGGGAAGAAGGAGCACCCTTCTAAGTATTTGGGATGCTGCAGATTCAGTTACCACCTTGGGGCAGCCCACCAGCCTGGTTTAGTGTCCTGTGTGCTTTGCCTGCTGTTGGTTCAGATCCTCAAGTGGAAACTTTCTGAGCTGAAGCACTGGAGATCCAGACTCTGCTTCCCACACATTGTAGTCAGAGTGGCTGTGTGTGGGACAAAAGTGCTATTCCCCAGTATATTCAGGTTTTACTCTCAGAAGGGAACTGAAACACATTTTACAAAAGACACTGAAGCTGCAAAATTATGTAAGGAAAAGTTAAGAAATGCTAGAACTGAGATTACTTTTAAGCTTGAAGATCAGCCCCCCCTTTGTGTAGGGATAATTATACATTTCTTAATTAGATGATCACACCTTCCTCTTCTCTCAGAATCCTGCCTTTTTCAGCAAGTGAGCTTTCAGCGATCCCTTTCAGCCTCCTCACTAAATGTGCAGATCAAGCTATTATTTAATGCATATTATATAACCCTTAGAATAGATGCAGAATTTACTGGGGTCACTTCAATTTAACATCTTTATTAACAATCTTGACGAGGGGATTGAGTGCGCTCTCAGTAAGTTTGCAGACAACAAGATGGGAGGTGTTGGTCTGTCAGAGGGGAGAAAGGCACTGCAGAGGGACCTGGATAGACTGGATCAATGGGCCAAGTTAAACTGCATGAGTTTCAATAGGGCCAAGTGTTGGATCCTGCATTTTGGTCACAACAATACCAGGCAACCCTACAGGCTTGGGGAGGAGTGGCTGAAAGTGACAGAAAGGGACCTTGATGTACTGAGGGACAGTCAGCTGAATACGGGCCAGCAGTGTGCCCAGGTGGCCAAGAAGGCCAATGGCAGCCTGGCTGGTATCAGGAATGGAATGGTGAGCAGGACTAGGGAAGTCATCCTGCGCTGTACTTGGCCCTGGTGAGGCTTCACCTCGAGTACTGAGAAGGGACATGGAAGTGCTGGAGCAGGTCCAAAGAAGGGCAACAAGGCTTAAGAAGGGCTTGGAGAATATGGCCTATGAGGAGTGACTGAAGGAACTGGGGATGTTTAGTCTGGGGAAGAGAAGGCTAAGGGAAGACAGTATTGCTCTCTTCCAATAACTGCAAGGTGCTGACAGTGAGAGTGGGGTTGGTCTCTTCCCACTGGTGACAGGACGAGGGAAATGGCCTCAGGTTGCACCAGGGTAAGTGTAGGTTGAATATCAGGAAACATTTCTTTACAGAAAGGGCTGTTAAGCACTGGAATAGGCTCCCCAGGGAGGTGGTTGAGTCACCATCCCTGAAAAATGTGTTTAAAAACAGCTTGGATGTGGTGCTCAGGGACATGATTTAGCAGAGGGTTGTTACAGTTAGGGTAGTATGATTAGGTTGTGGTTGGACTTGATGATCTTCAAGGTCTTTTCCATCCTGAGCAATTCCATGATTCTATGATTCTGTGATTCTACTTGTACCTTCCTTTGGGATCCTGCAGGGCTTTTACTGCTATGTATCCATGGTTCTCAGGAATTACTGAATGCATTTTAACCACCATTCTGGAAATGGGGAGCTGAGGCAAAAAGAGACTATTGCTACTTTTTTAAACTATCTTCTGATTCTGGGTAATTGCTTGAACACATATTTATTTATTTTCCAAGTCACTTGCTGTTTCTACAGTTTGGGTGGGATATGAAACACCTGCATGAGGCTGGGACATGTGGAACAGGAACAGAGGAGATCCATACCTTCAGATGGAGGTTAGGCAAGATACCCTAAAGCACAATGTCATTACGCACTGAATGACGTATACTGTTTATACAAAGCAGAGTTTTGGCTGCACCAGGAAGCACACAGGCTGAGGAGAGCAGGGTAGCCCCTAGGTATGCTGAGGAAAGGTTGTTTTACATCCTGACTCCAGGGATGGTTGCTTTTGCAGATCCTGAGTGAGTGATGTCTTGCTGCCATGTCAGGCTGGAAGCCCGTCTTTCTTGTTGAGTTTGGCATTGAACCCCACCTTTTCTCTTGCTCTTCCACACTGTTGAGCATAGATTCATTGTGTGCAGTGAGTTCCTCTCCTCAAGTCACTGACTCTTCCAGTGCTCCATGTGAGCTCCTCAGGGAACTGCACTCCATGTTTTGGATCCCTCAGGTACCTGCATTTGATTAGAAAATACTTTGTGATTTTTATGACCAATACTACACTTTTCCCACAGGGCTCTGTTTCATTATTTTTGCCTCTCAAGTCCTATTATAACCTGAAAGTCTGTGATTGCATTCCTTTGTACAGAACTTGCTTACTCTGTGCTAGCTGTGGAAAAGGTACTGCTTTAAACATAAATAATAAAAGAGATTAAAAAATCATTTCTTAAATAAAAAAAAAGATTTTAAACCAATCTGAGTGATTTTTGAGTTATGAGAATTTATAGAGGTGTGACATAAGAATTCTAGATCAGATAGATAGAGTCTGCTTGATGATTTCTAAAGATAAATACCATTTTCCACTTACAAAGTAGCTTTTTAGGGGCCACTGTTTCTACTGAGGAGTTGAAGAGGAAAAGGGGAGTTCTGGAGGTTTTGCATAGTATGTGGTATACAGATCAAGCTAACAAGTTTTGTAATGAGAAAATGCAATGTTAAATGAAACTGAAATATCTGAAGATATAAAATAACTTCTGTAATGTATTTCTTGGAAAAAAATTAGATAACTTTCAATAAAGTGGAATGGTTTTGTTTCAGCAGTTGCAGAAAGTAGTATTTAAATACAGCATATCCAAATGATTTCATGAACAGAAATTATTTTCTGTAATACAAATAAAAAAATATATTCTTTTAATAGTAAGCTGTATTTTTCTGGGGGCATGTATCATAAAATTAAGAAATTAAGAAATATCCCTTTTTCTTCCAGTTTTGGAAAATAAAGACATTCAAAGCTGAAGAACTGACTTTAAAATGGAAAACATCCATCTTCCCTGGTCTAGTTGGAAATGTAAGAGACTACTTGTGCTTTAAACATGAATTTAAACCACAGATTCAAGATAGAATTTGTCCTACAGTATGCTCTTACATACATGCTAGCATATTTAGGACCTTATGTTCACTACAGCTGGTACATGTGTTGATGTTGTCCTAATATTGGTAATACAATGATCTGCCACAGGCAGGTCATTTAAACTCTTCTCTTTACCTTCCATATGGAAAATTTAAGGTTATGGCATTCATGTAACAACAACAACAATTAAAATGCAAGGTTTGATCTACTGAGTCAGTGGAAGAATGAACTTGTGATTAAGCCTGAAGTGTATGATAGGATCTAAAATGTATAGGATTGATGTACTGATCTTAATTACTTTTACATCACAGTTTTCTGTTACCAACAGAAATTTGAGAAGTATTTCTTAAACACAATACCTAGTATTGATTTGAAGTCAATTTGTTGACGTTTTGCAAAATCCAGCCACTTTGGTTTTGTGGTATCTTGGTGTTCTGTTTTTTTTTTGGAGGGAGGGGTGATGTTGTTGTTTTATTTGTTTATTATTGAAGACTTCTATTAAGAAAAAGTACCTCACACTGACTTTATTGTAAAATATTGATAGCTTGTAAGTCCTTTAATCTAGAAAGAGTCAGAACAGTTTATAGATTAAATATCTGCAGGACACAGCAGATGAAAGCAAAATGCTGCTCCACCAGCCTGTGTTCAGAATACACATTATTTTTAGTAATGATGTAGGAGAGAAACAAAGAATCTAATCTAACAAATATTCCACTTTGAAGCTATGGTAGTCTCTCTTGGAAATATATATATATATATAATAGGTAGGAAAGCAAAAGACTCCAGCAGTCATTTTGATTGATCTTCGTGTTGCCCTGTAAGAATCTCCAAACCCACTCTGAGAAACTTGATGCTGAACATGGGACTTCTTTTTTTTTCAGTAGACAATTTATCTGAGAATACAGTGAAATTGGATTGCATTCATCAATGTATTTACCCAAAATAAAATTAACAAAGTACACGAAAATGTTAAAGAATTCATTTGAATGTGCTAAATGGTTGTGTTGGTAGTCTACATACCATTATGCTGCTTCAGCACGGCAAATGAAGAACAGTCCATCACAGAACAGCCCTCAGCTTCACACTGTGCTAGGAAGTGTTGGATCAAAGGACTGATGTGTTCTACCAGAAGATGTAGTTCAAATTTGGTTGCAGTATCTGAGAATTATTGCCTGTAAATAATGTTGGATGCAATCCAGATGGAGGGACTTAAATGGGCTGTTAGTATTTCCAGCAGGCCTTGTGTGTAACAAAATGCAGGAAAGCTTATGAGCAATGTCATTTTGACTATTTGGATAGCTCTGAAATACCAAGAACCTGTTTGCAGGCCAGAGTTGAAAGACATGCACTCAAGAAAAAGCTGCTGCTTCTAGAGAATAAGAGTTTCTTTGCTAAGAGATCAAGGATCAGACCAATGGTCTGCAAAGGCTGTGGAAAATTCTCTGTTGACAAACTTACATCTAAAAAATTTTGATCAATTCCCAAGTCTGTCAAAAACTGGATAGCTGACAAGGCTAAAATATAATACTGTACTGCCATGCCAGTATGCCTTTTAATGAAGAAACTGAGGAAGAAATCTAGCACAAGCTTGCTAGAGTTGTTCTCAGGCTCACTTGGTGCCCAGGATGCCTCTGTTGACTCATTGTCCTCACTCAGCTTCCCTGCTTTGTACTATCCTTCAGAAGAGAGCTCTTCTCAATGCAGAGGCTTATATTCCAGGATAATTCATACCCTTCACTACAGTGTAGTATTTTCAAATTATGTTGAAAAAAGTACAAGCATTAGTGTGCACAGACTAAAGAAGCCTCTGTGTTAATCTTCTAGTAGTAGAACCTTAAAGCCAGCTGAATTGCACATACATGCACTGAACCTTCTTGTGTGTCTTTGGCTCCTTTCTAAGCTACTAAGTACAGCTAACACAGGGAAAGCCTGTTCCCCTACCTGTGACTTCTAGCATCTTGTCCTTGCCGCAGGCACAGAACTCATCCTTTCCTTCTACCCTACCTAAATCTGCATTGGCTTCCTCCTCCATTTCTTTTCTCTGGATGCTCCCTTTTATCACTTATCCAGCCAAGACTTCATGCAGTGTCACATGGATTAATGTTACATAAAGTGAATTCACAATAGAACGTTTTTCTGAGTATTAAGTATATCACAGAATTACAGAATCACAGAATGACAGAAGGACGGTCTTCATCAAGGTGAGGAATCTATTCACTCAAGCACTGAACTGTGAGGTGACAGTCATGCTGATTTGTTTCCATATTTTTTTATTTATTTACCGTTTTAAAAACACTGGATGAATGGCAGCTGTTGGCTCTGTATGAAGGAACAAGGTGTCCACAGACTTGAGCTCTGTGATTCTCCTCTAGATGGGCTGCTCTTCAGAGATAACTTTTCTCTTATTTCTCGGAGCCATGTCCCAGTAATGATAACAAGTACAGAAGTATCATATCTACTTACTTGAAAAGTAGCTTAGCTCTTAGCAAGAATATTTTTCATCTATGAAACTTTAAGAGGCTGGAAAACTGTAGTGGTTTTCTTATTTTTGTGTCATTTCAGAGGTACATTTTTGTTCACATTTTGAAAATAAACATTTCACAGTAATTTCTACCTGTCAAAATTCTTTTTTTTTTTTTTTTTTTTTTTTTTTTTTTTTTGCCACCATTTTTGCCAGAGATACCATTCAGTATCTGTGCTTAAAAGCTAACAGTGAATCAAAGTGATTTAAGTGGGAAAGAAAGACAAACCTCCTAAGTGAAGCAGATATGATTTGTGTTAAAACTTGTAGCTCTTACATACATAGAGCAAAAGAGAGATGTTTAAGGGCCAACAGTGAGTCTTTTGGTCATAGCCAATAGATGGCAGTAAAAGTTGAGGAATAATGAAGATTAAACCTGTAATCCAGAAATGTCTTATGGATTCTTATTTCTGTGCAGGGATTTTACTGCTGTCCTGATACGCTGTTGTTTTCACTTAGATCCAGAAGACTGCATTGCATGGTTTCTTTCCCTCTAAGCTATTTTTCCTTATGTTTAGTATCTTTCTCCTTGGGTTTTTTTGGATGCAGAGGAAACCTCAACATGTCTGTACAATAAATTTAACAATTTAGCTCCACAGACAAGACTCCCTGTAGGAATGTCGCAAGCACAATGACCAGTTTATAGATAGAATCACCCACAAACTGCTGAAACTCAGCTTCCCCTCAAAGGCCCAGTAACTAGTAGGTGTGGTCCATCAACTGAACAACAGCTCATGGAGAAAGTGAAGACTACAGCCTGCTGACGTACAGATAGCCAGTGGAAGCAACTGGGAGCCCATTTGTCCACAGTAATGTCTGGTCAGCGTTTGGATTAGCAAATTGAGTATAGCAAAGAAAAATAATCCCAGGACCTTAAACAAGTGCAGTGGTCAAAGCCCAGGCTGTGCATTTTATACAAAGCAAAGCCTTGTGCAGCAGAATACTGCATAGGCATGCATTGTGTGAACTGAATGAAACACTCAGCACTGTAGCTTGTGCTGGTTACGGTGTCACTCTGCAATAGCTGAGCCCTTCCCACCTGGGCATAAGGGACATGACTATCTTCTGCCATAGCAAGAGGGATGAAACATAAGTGTATAAACCTGGAGAGAATCCTGGGTCCCTGCTGTTCTACCCTGAGTTTGCAGGTATTCTCACCACATTACACTTCTGGAAGATTTAACACATTGCACCCTTAAACTAGTTTGTTTACCTCCTCCCCAGAATGTCCTTTAATTACCACCTGTAGTGTTTCATACTACTGTGCTGCACTCTGCTCCAGCTATGACATATAATCATATAAACTGCAAGGAACATGATATAATTATGCTAATACAGTATAGAAAATACAGAATTAATGACATCTAAATCTGAATAATAAGATGTGCAGTTCAGATTGAAAGCAGTTTGACATCTTTTCACATCTTTTCTAATAAGAGGAAAATTAATTCAGAGTGCTTCAAAATATGAACATTTTTTGACAGGTAAAACTTTTCAGATAAACTTTTCCAATGAAAATAGAAGCATTCACTCCACAGAAAAGTTTTCTCAGGGGAAAGCCATTTAATCACAAGCTATATATAACACAGGAAATAGCATTCTTTGTTGAATCACTAGCTACTGCAAAGACTCCTGAGTTTTCTATAGTGGTCCTGTCCCTGCTGAGAGTGAGAGATTCCTCATGTCCATGGCCCTACAAAGGTTTAAGTTAAACCTACTTTACACACACTGTGGAAGGCTGAATTTAATTTAATGACTTCAGCCCAAAATCCAGAGGGATACATGTTCTCTGAAGACACTTCCACAAGATACTTTGGTAAGTACCAATTTGTTTGAATTTCTCCTTGAAATGTACTTTTTATTGTTCCTTTTCCTTTCCTTTTCACAACCATCTCCATTTTAAAGCACAGAAAAATATGTGTGGGAGAAAGGTCATCTAGTTCAACTCCCTGCCTAAAGTGGGGCAAACTTCAAAGTTTGATCAAGTCACATAGATTTTCTTGTAGAGCTGAGAAATCTAATACAGTTCTGTAAGTCAACTGAAAAGCTCATAGAATGTCAAGGAAATTGTCGTTTATTCAAGGCAGAGCTGAAGGCATTCAGTGAAACACCATTATTTAATATAGTTACTTGTTCCCATTTCAGCCTCTGCAAAGAACCAGCATAAGCTACGCATGATTCCCCTTCCTGTTTTGTTTAAACAAGACTATGAGTTTACATCAAGCTTATATGAGTTAGAGTGTATGCAGCAGTAATGCACTGAGACACCCAGACAGATCTTTATTGATGGCAATAATTTCTTTCTTGTGTAATGCCATGACAGCTGCTAGCAAGTTCTGATGGCTGCCTAGTGAGGAGGTGGTTTTGTCTTGCCAAGTACATTCTGCAGTTAAATCTGGAGGTCAGTAGTCCTCCAGAATAGTGTTAAAACTGAATACCAAATTAAGGAATGAATCACAGGGGAACTCTTGTGGAGTTAAATTACACCTACCTGAGGGTGTTGAGAGACCTGGTGGAGATGATTGCCAAGCCACTTTCCACCATCAGTATTCCTAGTCAACCAGAGGGGTCCCTGGGGATTGGAGACTTGCCAGCGTGACTCTCATCTACAGGAAGGGTTATAAGGAGTATCTGGAGAACTACAGGCCTTTCATCTTGACCTTGGTGTCAGGGAAGGGTATGGAACAGATCATCTTGAGTGAGATCACACGGCATGTGCAGAACAACTGAAAGATCAGGCCCAGCCAGCATGGGTTGATGAAAAGTAAGTCCTGCTTGACCAACCTGATCTTCTATGATAAAAGACCCACTTGGTGGATAAGAGAAAGGCTGCTGATGAAGTCTACCTAGACTTCAGCAAACCTTTTGAAAATTTCTCTCATAGTATTTTCCTGGAGAAGCTGGCAGCCTGTGGCTTGGACAGGTACACTCTTAGGTGGGTAAAAAACTGTCTGGATGACAAAACCCAGAGAGTAGTGGTGAATGGAGTTAAATCCAAACTGCAAGCAATCATGAGTGGTGTTCCCCAGGGGTTGGTACTGAGACCAGTCCCGTTTAATGTCTTGATTGATGTTTTGGATGAGGGAGTTGAGTGCACTCTCAGTTGGGAGGAAGTGTCAATCTGCCTGAGGATACAAAGGCCCTACAGAGGAACCTGCCCAGGTTGGATGAATGGGCTGAGGTCAGTGGGATGAAATTCAGGATCAAGTGTCATGTCCTGCACTTTGTCCACAGAATCCCCAGGCAATGATATAGGCTTGGGGCAGAGTGGCTGGAAGACTATGTGGAGGAAGTGGACCTGGGGGTGTTGGTTGATGCTTGTCTGAACATGAACCAGCAGTGTGCCCAGATAGCCAAGAAGGCCAATAAGCATCCTGGCTTGTATGAAAAACAGTGTAGTCAGAAGGACCTGGGAAGTGATTGTCTCTCTGTACTCAGCTCTGATGAGGCTGCACTTCAAGTACTGTGTTCAGTTTTGGGTCCCTCGCTACAAGAAAGGTATTGAGACCCCAGCGTGTGTCCTGAGAAGGGTAATAAAGCTGGTGAGGGGTCTGGAGCGCAACTCTTATGAGGTGTGGCTCAGGGACCTGGGATTGTTTAGTGAGAAGAGAAGAGGAGGCTAAGGGGAGACCTTACGGCTTTCTCCATCTCTTTGAAAAGAGGTTGTGGTGAGGTGGGGATTGGCTTTTTATCCCATGTAACAGTGATAGGACGAAGTTGTGTCAGGGGAAGTTCAGGTTGAATATTGGGAAAAATTTCTTCTCAGAAAGAGTGATCAGGTGCTGGAACGGGCTGCCCAGGGAGGTAGTTGAGTCACTGTATCTGGAGGTGTTCAAGAAACATTTAGATGTGGTATTAAGGAACATGGTTTAATGGGGAAATATTAATGTTGTATGTGGACTGTTAGACTAGATGATCTTGGAGGTCTTTTCCAACCTCAGGGATCCTATGATACAAAGTTTGTGTTTGAATAAAATCTGCCTGGGGATAGTTTGATAAAGCTGTGATAGCAATACCTTGGACAAGCCTTATGGTTGCAGAAAAGACTTGACAGTTATAAGGAACAGATTTAGAAACCTCCTGGAGCTAATCTACATTTTTATGTAAACTGAATGAACTTCTTCAGACAAAGAGCCAATTCAAATATTCTGAGTTCTGCAGGCAAAGTCATATTTTGTTGTCTTAAAATAAAGTGCAAGAACCAGACTCTTCCTGACTTTGGATGTGGAATGTGGGAGGGAAAGGTAAGGGTTAGAGTGCACCAGGGCTGTACTTGCTCATCTGACTAGGGAGAATGGCACCTGCTTCCCACTGGCACAATCCTGTCAGCAGCAACTTGCAAGCCATCCTTCATGGAAAGCAGCAGCAAGCCTGTTTTTTCTGTGCTGCTCCTGGATACTTACTCCCTCAGTATGTTTATCTTTGCTTGGGACTAGGACTGCTTCTGTGCATACAGCATATGTGTTGTCAGCATCTGCATGTAGTAAATGCTTCACCTCTTTTACTTTAGTGCTTGTCTCCTCTGAGAGAATGATTTCAGTGTGGCTGGAAAACAGCAAGGTATGGGATTAATAAAGAAGGGTATTCTCTATGCAAGAGGTACAG